GAAATTGGGCTGTCGCAATGTGCTGGGTTCTACGCCGCAGCCCTTTGGCTCTACCTCCTGATTCAAAATCTGGCCCGTGGTCATGTCCGACCGTGGGTCAGCTGTGTCATCGGGGATGATCTCGAGGAGATGGCAGAACATGGCATCGTCATAGTCATCGACGTCCACCTCAAGGAGGTGGGTCTCCTTCTGGCCAGTGGTCTGGGAGGCGTTCGAAGACCCTGGGCATTCACGCTTCCAATGCCCGATGCGCCCGCACTTCTGGCAGCGGGTGCGCTGCTTCAACTCAGCGATCGATAGTCGGTACATGCCGGGCCGAATTGGCCCTTGCGCCTGTCGGCCGCTTGAACTAGCTGCTCCCTGGCGGTAGCCGCGGCCGAGTTCACGATCTTTCTTCAGCTGAGCAGACTGGGTGTAGGTCTTCTTCTTCTCCTTAATCATCATAGCAAGGATCTCGGCAGCTTCCTGCTCCTCAAAGATCCCTGTGTCAGGGACCTGCTCATCGAGCAAGTCCGCCAACATTGTCTCCATGGCCTCTAGTTCCTCGCCATCCCGGTCGACGACGGTCTCGTCCTCGTCGAGGTCGTCTTCATCTTCGATCAGGTGAACTGCCGAGTTGGTGGGCTTGCCGCTCTTAGTCCCGGTCTCATTGCCGAGTTGGTTGGCTTGCAGCTTGGCCTCATGCTTCCTCAGCCAGTGTTTGACATCCTTGGGCTCGATCGAGCCCTGAGTGAAGTTCAACAAGGCCTTGATGTCAGCCTCCGCTAAGCCCAAAGCATTGATCAGCAGAAAACCTTTGTAAATCGAAGGAAGATTGACTCGGTGCTCTTGCACCTTCCGTTCGGCCGCCTCCCACCGGGCCAAGAACTGGCGGGCATTCTCAGTCCTTTGGCGCTTAAGGTGGTAGGTGATCCTTGACAATGAAGCCAAGAGGTGCTCCTCCTGGTCGTCACCGTAGTACTCCGGAGCATCCATCTGCTGGAGCAGGGTCTCGGCATTCGTTGGGTCGTTCAGCCACTTCGGATTCTTTGCAAGATGCTTGAAATCCTGGAAAGGCGTTCCGCTCAAGGCAGGAGGAGGGGCCCACGTGTCCTGGCCTGAGCTTTGGTAGTGCTAACTCAGATCCTAGCCCTGATCAAGTAGTCCTCAAACGGGTACTCGGTTCCGTCCCACGGTGGCGGTGGACCTGCGTTGGTCCTGAAGTCACCGCCTTGATCATCCTCGTCATCGTCTGTCCTTCGGCGGCTCTGCTCCCTTGACCGTCTTGACGGTCGTTCTCCGCGGCGATCATGTGCCCGGTGCCGCATCCACTGGCGGAGCTGCTCGTATTCCGCTTCTTCGTCTGCAGCCTCGCCCTCCTGCTGCAGGTCGTCGTCCTCGTCATCCTCCGGTATCGGAAGATCGGCGGCACCTCCCTGTGCCATGGTTTCCGCGCTACTCCGCTAGCGCGCCAAAACTGAATCAACTCTCCAGAGAATTGCTTGCCCTAAAACCCCCAAGCACCTGGTCGAAGCCAGGCGCTCCGCTACCACTGTAATCGGCAAAGACACCCAAAGACGCAAGCACAAGACAATTCTCCGGAAAGCAGATGCGGTTTTCAGCGCGCATTCCCCAGAGCACTGATCGTCAGTACATACGCAGGCCCCTGGGAGCCGACACATTATCGATGTTGGTTTCAGCCAACGGAACTTGCCGGAATTACACCCTAAACCCTGAACCCTAAGAGTATCGGCAAGCTGACCTGAAGGTAGCAAGCCGGCCCGAGCTAATCTCTGATTCGCAAGACTAAGAGCAAGAGCAAGCACTTGTGATCACTTGCGCCCTCATTGTAAAACTTGTTTTCCGCAACCCTAAAACAAATCTCTGCAGAAGATAGCACAAAGAGCCACGTATCATCCTTTAAGCTTCATCCCCTCACGCTCGAAACCCAAACGTCCTAAAGCCCTAAAACACTAAAACCCAAAGCCCTGAACTCGAAGCTTTTAGATGCAACTCTCTTAGGCCCGGCTCGTATTGGCTTCCATCGGCGGGGTCTTGTAAAGACGCCCACAAGGTTTGTCGGGGGTCGAGACGTTAGGGTAAGGGCGGTTAGGGTTCATAGACAGGGTCGTAACCCGATCTTATCGAGATTCAAAGGCAGCGCAGAGAGACAGAGAGGGAGAGAGAAAGCTCGAAAACTCGCTACATCCCTGCTGGCTCCATGGAGGCACTTAAAATAAGACAGCCTGGAGTCGATGGGCTCTACGGCCGCGCATCGGCCCCGATTTTGGCCAGATCGTGAGCGACTCTGTGCCGCGAGATCTCCGCTCCATAGGGTTTAGGGTCTAGGGTTTTGGGTTTTGGGTTTTGGGTTTAAGGTTTAGGGTCTCATCGTGGCCCCACTGGGCCCACTAGGCGCAGGAGTTTGTGGGACCCAGGACACCTGTAGAGACTGGGTCCGAAAACGACATCCCGCTTAGACTCCCAGTTAAATGTCCCTTGAACTGCAAGCACTCGATGCGTGGCTACATTTCCCAGCATGATTTACCTTGCAGGATATGACCAAGACACCGGGACCAAGAGCTCTTAGGGATTTGGGCTTAGGATTTAAGCCTTAAGGCATAGGTCGGCTACGTGGTTGCTCACACTCGGAAGTACGAAGCCCTTGAACCCATAAGATACCTGCCTCAGCACTGCGCCCTAAACCCTAAACTAAGCAGGACTGGAGAAGAAAGCCTTGGTTCCCAGCCTCGACAAACACCAAAATCCCCACGGAAAACCGCATCCAAGACCAAAACTTGACCCGGGTTGTGAGGGTTTTGGGTTTAGGGAAACTGTGAACCCTCAGTTTTTTGAAAAGCAAGACTCCTTCCGCCCTCAACGCCACCCGACGACCGCAACCCTGCAACCTGCCGTCAACCCTAATGTAAGGGGCCTTCATAATTCTTAGAAAAGGGTTTAGGGCTCAGGTGTTTTTATGGGGCCTTACTGAAAGAAGGCTGCAAGGGGCTACTATTATTAGTTGTTCCACCCCCGTCCAATATAGTAAACCCTGAAGGACAAGCCTAAACCATAAACCCGTAGATGCAATCGCAGAGGAACACACTGAACTACCTAAACCCCTAGAGGAGACGGAGCCTCGAGCTTCCCTCTGATGTTGTTGATGCGCTGGATCTGGCCAGCAGAAGGGCTCTCAGCCCAGCTTTTTTAGAGTTTAGGGTTTAGGGTCTAGGGGGGCCTTCCATCATCTGAGTGCCTTTAGTCTTCATTGTAGCGTTCCTTTTTTGGTTTAACGAAATATATATGTAGGAGCCGAGAAGGTATCCAACAAAGGAACTACGATCGGGACTGTAGGTAGGGTTCATTCTTTACATAGTCCTTTCAGGGTTCCTCTCAGGGTGCCACAATCTCGGCGCCTTATAGTGATTAGAATAGGGCTTTGGATTGGAAGAGAGCAACCCTGAGGAATAATATTACTAGCTCTTAGCCCACTTTTTTACCGATTCGACTCGTTGCATGTAAAACTATGCCTTTCTCTTCTCTGCTTCTTTCAGTGGCAGTCCCAAAACGATTCGGAAGCCCCGTGGAGATGACAGCCTCAACCCCCATCGTAACCCTACTATAGAGGCCTGAATCAGGTTTTGGGGTTAATTAAACTACAAATTCTATAATAAGGAACCTCCACCATGGTGTTTGTAACTATTTAGCCCCCTATGTGAGGTAACCCTTTTACCCGAAACCCTAAACCCTAAACCCTAAACTCTAAGCCCTAAGCCCTGAA